AATGTGGGATAATAGGGGATAATAGGGGAGAATATGGGATAATAGGGGGATAATAGGGGAAAATGTGGGATAATAGGGGATAATAGGGGAGAATATGGGATAATAGGGGGATAATAGGGGAAAATGTGGGATAATAGGGGGATAATAGGGGATAATATGAGTGAAAGTGCAGCCACAGACAAGGACAGAGGGACAGGGGACAGGCAGACAAGGCAGGAGCCACAGCCCAGGCCCTGCGGGGACGCAGAAAGGGATGAAGATTAAACATGGGAAAAAACGGGGTAATATGGGAAAATACGGGAAAATGTGGGAAAATAAGGGATAACATGGGTGAATGTGCAGCCCCAGAAAAGGGACAGAGGGACAGGGGGTGACAGTGACACTGTGGGGGTGACAGTGACACTGTGGGGGTGACAGTGACACTGTGGGGGTGACAGTGACACTGGGAGAGAGAGGATTAGGGTGACATTGGAAGGATGACACTGACATAGAGGGGCGCTGGTGACACCGAGGGGGGTGACACTGACACGGGGGGGTTCTGATGACACCGAGGGGGGGGTGACAGTGCCAGGGGGGTGCCGGTACCTTCTTGACGATGCGCAGGCAGCGGCGCAGGAGGCACTTGGGGGTCCGGCCAGGCCCGGAGGGGCCCCCGGGGGGGCTGCGGGAGCAGGCGCTGCAGATCCCACAGTCCTCGGGGATGCGACAGGCCTGGCACGTGCCACAGCCCACCCGCTGTGGGGAGGGGGCGTCAGGGGTCTGGGGGGGGGGGCCCCCCGAACCCCCTGAGGGATTTGGGGGACACCCAGGAGGAGGATTCACCCCCCCCGAGGGATTTGGGGTACCTTGTAGAATCGCTGCTCCCTGTTGAAGTCTCGTCTCTGGGCTGGGGGGAGATGCAGGAAGGGGATCAGGGTCACCCCAACTTTCCTGGGATCCCACCCTGACCCCCCTCCCAAAATCCTTCAGGCTCCTTTTCCCCCCTCCCCAAGAATGATCCAAAACAGAGGGAAAAGGAGGCAAAGGGGAATCGAGGAGGAGGAACAGGAAGTTTCAGAGGAATAAAATTATAATTATGGGGTTGAAGCAACTCAGGGAATGATGACGACGATGATGATGGAGAAGAAAAACCCCAAGGAATGAAGGACAAGAAGAGCAGGAAAACGAGGAAGAGGATAAACCAGACAAAGCTCTGAGGGAGCTGAGGAAAGTGGGAGAAGACTCAGAGGATGACAAGGAGCACGGAGAGGATGAGGAGGAGGGCGCTGAGGCCGAAGCTCACCACGGCAGTCAGGGCAGAGCCAGCGGCAGCGGCGCTGGGGGGGCAGGGACACCCCTGGGAACAGGGTCTGGCAGCTGGCACAAAGCCTGCAAAGGAGCAGTGACATTTTGGGGAGGGGGCTCAGGGGGGACCCCAACACCCCCAGTGCCCCCCCAGCCCCCAGGGAATCCCCCAAACCCCCCCTGAGGGATCCCCCCAAACTTCCCTCGGGGACCCCAACCCCTCCCTGCTGGGGTCACCCCCTGCTCCTGGGAGCCCCTCCCCACACCAAGACTTCCAGGGGACCCCCACCCACACCTGGGGGACCCCACGACCCCCCTCAAGGACCCCCCCATTTCCCTTCCCCCACTCACGCCACCACCCCATCCTGGGGGGGCTCCAGGAGCGGCCGCTTCCGGGTCCGGCGCAGGGGGGGCTCCGGAGGGGGCGTGGCCTCGACCGAAAGGGGCGTGGCCTGAACGACCGGAAGTGGGGCCTGGCCCGGAGGGGGCGGGGCCTGGGTGGGGATGGGCAGGGTCTGACGCGATGGGGGCGGAGCCTCTTGGGGAAGGGGCGGGGTTTTCTCGGCCTCAGCCCCGCCCACCGCCTCCTCCTCCTCCTCCTCCTTCTTGAAGATTTTGGGGGGCTCTGGGAGGGGCACGGCGGGCAGGTGCCATTTGGGGCCCTTCTTGGTCTGAAAAGCAGAAAATGAGGCGGGGGGGGGTCACAAAATGGAGAGAGAACCCCTTGTGATTTCCTCCCCCCACCCACTTCAAAACCCCCATTTCTGCTCCTTTAATTTAATTTAAGGTCCCCTTAAATTAAATTCCAACCCCCCCCCACCAATTTAGGGTCTCCTCACCCTCATTTCCCCCGATCCCATCTCTTTATTCCACCCCTTGTTATGGGGTTTTTTCCCCCCAGGTTTCCCTCCCCAGGGTTTTTTTGGGGATTTTGCTGCCCCCTCCCCTGGTTTTTAGGGCCCCTCCCGGGTTCCAATCCCCCGTACCCGGGTGGGGCTGGGCCGTTGCAGCCCCGATTTGAAGTCGAAGTTGCTCAGGTCGTGCCCGGGGCCCAGGAACCGCCTCAGCTCGATCTTACTGCGGAACTTCTGCCCTGTGGGGCTGCAGGGGAGCTCGGGTCACACAGGGGCTCAAAAATCCCAGGGAGAGACCCCAAAACCCCAGGGGAGGGCTCACAGACCTTGGGGGAGCCCCCAAATGTCAAAGGGAAACAGCGGGAGGACGGGAAAGGGGGAACAAACAGAGCTCACAAAACTCCCCCCGTGATTTCAACTCTTCACCCCCTCCCTCCTCCGAGCCCCAAAATAGCCTGGAAAAAAAAATCTGAGAGGGGGTGGAAATATTTGGGGAAAAGGGCACTGAAAGTGGCCTCGGGGAGATCCTGGAGGGGGGGTTCTGAAATCCCCCTTGAAACACCACAGGGGGCTGGGGGGGAATTAAGGGGAAGCCCCCAAATGGACGCGGGATGAGGTCGAGGATGGCAGGAGGGAGCTACAGATGAGGGTGAAAGGGCAGAACTGACCCCC